CTGATCTGCCTCGCCCAGGAAGAGTGCAATGATGGTGCCAACTTGGGCCAGTGAAGCGACGTCCTCCACAACTAGACTGAAGAACAAAAGGACAGCAACTTGTCACCATCCCCCAATTCCCCAATAAAAATCTTTAAAAAAAGAACTAACTGCGTTGGAGTCACAAGTAATATCAAGCTGCTTAATACACTTCCCGTGCTATCCAAAACAAGAAGCAAGATGTCCATTCCCACATACATTTTGCAGCAGGTATGTTTTCTGAGTTCTAACTACAGTCCCAGCAGAGTTTATCAGACAAGAGTACAAGTGGAAAGGGCAGTTCCATATTTCAAAATCCATTTAACTTTGCAATTGAGCATCTTCCACATAATCTTCAATTAGAAGTGATTACTCTGCAAAGTAATGACGTACTAAGAGGCAAATATCAAGAATCTGATTATATATTTAGAGCTCCTGGCTCATGGATTAGTCTCCCACCCCGCCTGGGCTTGATATCTGTCATCTGTATTCACATTGTGAAATATGGCAATTACCACAGAAAACTGCATCTTGGTAGTTGGTTATCTGTTGGTTTCTCTAACGAAAATCTGAGACCCTTAAGGGCCCAGATCAAAACGAGACCTTGCTCAGATCCTGCTGTGCAACAGCTAAGTGTTTTTGAATGAATGAATGACACAGGGTGTTCCAGCCATGAAGAACAGTAGAGTGTTTTGGGAGGGGTAAGGACTGTGCCTTCTTTGTTTATACAGGCTGTTTGAAAGTTGGGGATAACTTATAGAAAGCAAACCTAGGATCCATACAGAATCCTGACCAAGAGGATTCAGAAATTGGGTCCATGGTCAAAAACCAGATACGCAAATAAACATTTAGATCTTAAATAAAATATTTGGGTTTGGGGTTGGCGATGGAAAATCACAGTAACCAGGCAAAATAACTGATACAATAAACAACTACATGACGCCAGTGCTCTCAATCACATATTTAAATAAAATTACTTTTTTTTTTTTTACAACTGCAAGATGTTCATCAAACCAATTTCTTATTATCACAAGCTCAGAAATGTATTCTGCTCTGGTGATAAACATTTGTGAAGCTTGCTTGTGTGGAAAGACTTGTGTGATGCTGATGCTTCCGAATATAAAGGGGAAGTAGAAAATTGCTGCCTTGTTTTCAAATCAGCCAGGAAAGCTTTGTGGAGGAGGCTTCCTTTTTTTTTTTTTTTAAAGATTTTTATTGGGGAATTGGGGGATGGGAATAGCACTGGGGGGTTGGGGGAAGGGGAACAGACAAGTTGCTGTCCTTTTGTTCTTCAGTCTAGTTGTAGAGGACGTTGCTTCACTGGCCCAAGTTGGCACCATCATTGCGCTCTTCCTGGGTGAGACAGATCAGTCACCGGCTTCTGGATGGCGGCTCACGCTGGCTGCTGGCTACACACGGTAGCCCATGGCAACCCACTGCAGCCTATGCCGTCGCCAGCGACTCACAGCAGCCCAGCTCCAGGTTGAGCTGTTGTTCAGCATCTTAGCTGTAGAGGGCAGTGCCACTGGCCCTCATATGTGGGATCCGAACTGGGGCCCTCTGGCATCCCAAGCCAGCTTTTAACCAACGTGCCACTCGGCCAGCCCCTGGAGGAGGCTTCTTGATAGAATAGCTGCTACCTGTGGATAGAATGCACCAAATCTGAATGGCATATGGGAGCATATAATTTACCTCCCATATATTTCTTCAGAAAAACAATGGACAGTCTCTCTTCTCAGATGTAGCCCTTAGACTATGGGTAGGGCAACAAAATAGACGCTTATGATTAACTAGGTATTTTGGAAGATAAGAACAGATTGTCTCTGAAGTCCGTTGAGTTGTTCATTTATTTCACAAATATTTATTTGAGCTTTTAATAACCATGAGAGGTACAGCTGAACCAAGACAATGAGAGGTCTGAGGACAGGATCAAAGTCCTTGACAGGGATCACAGATGTCCCCTATTTGTTCTCCCATTTCCTCTCAGTTTTCTGACTACCACTCTTCTCTCTCCTCGATGTTCTCTTCTTCATCATTATGGGTTTTTCTTTCCATAGTCTGGTCTGTTTATTTTTTCTTCTTGTGTTTCATTATCATTTTCTTCCAAAGGTTTTTAGAGTTATCATACAGATTTTTTCAGTTTTTTAAATATTTCTTAAATATTTAAGCCTTTTAATAAACATTCAAAAATGCATAAACGTTTTTATCAAGTAAATACATGGTCAGAAAGGCATTGTATCTCCCCACAAACTGATTATCAATTTCAAAAGGAAAAACAAGAATGTCACAGCAGCGAGACCTGGCAGTGACTATCTTCACCAAGAGATCAACATTAACATCACCATTGTATGCTTCCTGAATGGTGCATTGAGATGACACAGCATTGCTCATATAATATTCTTGCCCCAAATACATAACCTCTATAACTCCTACGGTGGGGAAACAAAATCATATAGAAAGACATTTTACCAAATAGCTGGTGTGTGCCCTTCAAAATGAGTGTCAAGGAAGACCAAAAAAAGAAAAGGAAAGAGAAAACAAGGCAGGGAAGGAAGAACTTCAGACTTGAGGAGCCTAAAGAGATGACAATTAACGCCGTGCATAATCCTGCACTGGATATTGGAAGCTGAAAAAAATGCTGTAAAAGACATTGAGATAATTGTCAAAATTGGAATACGTGAATAGTATTATATCACTGTGAGGTAAGAAAATGTCCTTACTCTGTAAAAATTCACACGGAAGTATTAAGGAATAAAGGGACATGATAATGCAACTTAAAACTATTTCAGAAGAAAACATTAGAGAGAAATAGAGAATGGTAAAAATGAATTTGGCAAAATGTTATCTGGTTAACGTGGATAAAGTGTACATATAAGTTTGAAATTACTTCAAAATAAAATTTAAAAAAATGAAAATGTTATCTTTATAAACACCTTAAAGTACTCCATTAATTTCATGATATAGAGTACATTTTAAGCAAACATGTTACATTTTAGAGAAAGTCTATGCCTAATTTCAAGAGTAAACATTCAGAAACCCACGCTGAACTAGTCACTTCCTGTCGCAGTCGCCCATGTTGACATCCGTGCAACTAACAGACATGGTTCTCATGTGACAATGGATGCTTGCGTGCTCTTTGGTTAAAGTGACTGATCACACAAATACAGGTAAACAAAAGGAAGAAAACAAAAATCACCCACAACACCATGTTTTGGAGCAGGTCTGAAAGATGTCCACACAGAGGCTGTGGGGCCCAGCCCCAATCCATGCAGTGGTAAGGCCTTGGGAAAGCCATTTGGCCACTTTATGTCTCAGTTTCTCCATCTGCAAAATGGAGAAAATAATACTGCTTTACTCAAAGGTTTGACATGAGGAGTTAGTATTTATAAAGCACCTCAAGCAATGCCTGGCACATGGTAAACGAATATGCCATTACATAAAATTTCTTTTTCTCTTTTTAAAACTGAAAATATCGTGACAGGCCAAGCTAATCTATGGTAGAAAAATATGAGAACACTGATTGCCTCTGGGAATGGAAACTGATTTAGAAGGGCCTGCAGGAAACTTCTGAGGTAACCATAATATGCTATACCGTGGTAGGGGTATGCGTTTGTCAAAGCTCTGAGAATTTTACACTTAAGATTTGTGTATTTCATTATATGTACATTTTATTTCAAAAGAACAAAGAGAACTGCAAATAAATATTGAAATATGGTTAGTGATGTTCATGCTAATGTATTTAGGGGAAAGATGTCTGTAATTTACTTTGAAATGCATCAAAGAATAAAGGTGGATGGAAAGAGGGTTGGAGAGATGGATAGAGATGTGAGAAAGCAAGCATAGTAAAATGTTAATGTTAGAATTGAGATAGGGTTCACCATCAAATTCCACACCTTGACTGTGACTGCCTTTCCAAGAAGTCTACATTTATACGTACAGTTATGACATTATTTCACTTTTAAGCGAACATATAGCAACTTGCACACTGACATAAGTTCTCAGTCCCTGCACACCAGGCACCTGGTGAGGCCACACATAGTCTAACAGTGTATCCTGGACCACAGCATTCCAGGTCAGCTACCCAACCTACAGCTGTGTTATTGGATACACCGAGTGCTGGCAAACTGTTATCTCCTGTGTGAGGGCTGGAGTCTGGGAAAGAGGCAACAGTCATTCAGAACCGATTTTGCTAGGTGAAGAGCCATCAGGTTCAGTAAGACCATTTGGGATAGAAAGGAAAGCTATGACAAAGAAGGAAGCAGTTTTCCTGTGTTTGAGTCATAAACTGCCTCCAAACACAGTGTTTCATAAATGCTTTTGAGAAATGCAGCTCTGTTTGACAATACTTCACACTTAATATTTTCTGGCATACTTATAGATGTCCAGCAACCCTATGAAGTAAAACTATCCTTATTACACAGGTGACACATCTGAGGCACAGAGTCACTAAGAAGTTAGAATTTACCTGACATTGCACAGCTGGTAAGGGGTGAAGCTGGGATTTGAACCTAGGCAGTCTGACACAAGGGTCCACGTGTTTGATCACACATCAGACCGCCTCTTGGTTAAAAGAAGGGCACTGCCTCCTAAGGTGAAGACCTGGAAGGGAACAAAGCCTGCTTACAAACATACACCAAGTGAATTAATTAGAAGATCAATTTTGTCTCCACATAGTTAAATCTTACATGTTATTTCTCTCTTGTTTCCTGGTGCAGTGATTGGCACATAGGAGACAGTAACATTTTGCTAAATGAAGAAGTGAATACATGAATGAAGTAGTTCAAAAGTGTGCATTATTGGTGAACTGATGTTCCAGGCAAATGGAGAGAGAACTTTTAACATTTACTGAATCCTTCCTCTGTGTGGGACACTGCATCTACTGGAGTCACTCTAACCCTATGAGCTGTATGTTCAATCCTGGGTCAGGAGGCATTTCACCATCTAATACGCAAATTACCAATGTGCTTTGAGTGACCGAGGGTTGGGACAGGGTTCTAGGGAGCAGTTTCCAGGCTCTCAGCCTCACATAGAAAGGTGCTGGCTGGGTTATATAACGCACACATGCAAACATTCCTGTAACCAATTGGCCATCAACTGTAACCAGTTGGCCATTAGCCACTATTGTTTCGTATATAACTGCCATGGCTGTGTTAGCAGGCGCAGATGGTGCGGATCTTGCGGATCCTACTTCCTGTGTCTCGCCCGGCTGCCAGCGAGACTGTGGTACAGGAAGACCCCTTGTTAGGCTGTTGGTGGATGCTTGCTTCTTGTGTCTTGAGCCACCAAGAACATAGTGGCTCAGCTACAAAAAAAAGAAAAAAAAAAGAAAAAAGAAAAAAAGAAAAGAACATAGTGGTATGAAACCTCCCATTCATGGCTCCATTGTTCCTTTTCGGCTTCCTCGTATCCCGCATTCACCTGCCAGGAGCTGAGCCCCAGCATTACACCCAGCTTTCCTCTTCCCCAGGCCCAAGTGTTCAGGCAACCTAAAGGCTTCCTGGACACACCAAAGACAATCACCAAGTTCCTTTGAGTTTCGCTCTAGTTTCTAATATCTTCTAACCCCTGACCATGGTACCTCCAGGAGGCACAGCTCACCTCTTGCTCCATCTCCTGCAGTAGCCCCAGCTGTACTCCCTGTCTTTGGTCCCCCTATTCCCACTGTCCATCTTACCTTCCAATGCCCAGTTCTGTGAGGAAGGTACACAGAGGGTCTGGAATGAGATGGCCTGCCTTTGAGGCCAATGAAGCCAGGCAAGGCAGTTATCTTCTCTGGGCCTTGATTTCTTCATTGGTAAAAGGAGAGAAATCAATAGATTTCATTGGGCTTTATAGGGATTAAATTAAATAATGTATGCTAAAGTGATACTTTGTAAATGCTTGCCACATGATAGTTTTTGCTCAATCTAATTGTTGGTGCCTCTAATCAAACACCTGATGTAAAGCTGCAAAGAACAAAACCCCCAAACCAGAAACTAGCTATGGCTTCCTACTGTCTCCTAGGCTAAAGTAAAAACTCTTTACAATGGCATTTTTTCCCCCAAGAGATTCTAAATTGTATCTATACAAATTATATCCCATAGTTCATCTGCCCCGCACTCAGCTGAACTGAGCTCTTAACAGTTCCCGGGACGTGCCTCTGTAAGCTGTTACGAACAGTGCTTCTGTGGACATTTGTGTACATGAAACCGAAAGGAAGATATAAGTCATTCACACACGGGCGCGCGCATAGCCACAAGTTAAATTACTCTCTGGGTACTTCAGTTTCCTCAGCCGGAACTGGGGCTAATTACCTCCTCCCGGCCTGCATAGCCCACAGGACAGGTGCCAGGGTCAGGAACGGGTAGAAAAGCGCTGGGGTTAGAGCTGGAGGGCTAAGCAGGTATACGTTTCGTCATGAAGTTAAGAGCCTTTGGTGCCGAAAGTCGGAGCCCGACGTAGGGGAAGAATATGGGCGGTGAATTCGAAGTTTCAGGAGGTAGCCGGAACCAGATTCCGAGGGTCCCGGGACTCCGTGACGGGGAGTTCGCCGGCCCCACCCAGAAGGCCGCGGGGCAACAGCGCGCGCCCGAGGGCAATACACCTTACCTCACTTCCGGCGCTCGACCCGGAAGCGGAAAAGAGCTGGTTTCTCTCCGTCTCCCAGGCGTTTCTCTTGCGTCGTTCCGGCCCGCGAGAGCGCGGATAGGCGGTATTTCGTAGTGTGCGGTGAGGGTTAGCTGAGCGCTAAGACCCCGGAGCAGCAGCGGCCATGGCGGATGTGACCGCCCGTAGCCTGCAGTACGAGTACAAGGCGGTGCGTACGGGCTTGGGGAGGACTTCTGGCTCCGGAGCCCAGTGGGGGAGCGGGAGGCGGAGGAAGGCAGTTTGTCTGAAGGCCTGCAAGAGAACCGCGAAAGCGGAGGGCAGATCGCATCCGGGGTCCCTGTCCCGTCAGCGCTATATCCGCCCCTTCCAGATGTCACCCCCAACATGCCCAACACTTTCCCGGGTGTGGGTTATTATGGAAATTGTTAGCAGGATTGGTTAACTGATTTAATTGCCCTTTACTCATGCGCAATTGTACGATACTAGTTGACATCTTTTTTTGTCTAGTGATTGTCAGCACCTAGTTGCTCCGATTTTTACTTCCTTTGTTATCATCCCCTGGCATCCCTGTGATAAAGGAATTGGCTCTGCTCATGTCAGAGCTTCCATAATATTGGGGTCTTTTCAGAACTCGAATCTTGTCCTCCAAGCTGACCGCTCTCTCATTGACCGGACTCGCCGGGATGAACCCACAGGCGAGGTGCTGTCCCTGGTTGGGAAGTTGGAGGGCACCCGGATGGGAGATAAGGCTCAACGGACCAAACCACAGATGCAGGAGGAAAGAAGAGCCAAGTGAGTACCAAGGGGAGAATGGTTTTCCTTCAGATCCCAAAGTCTCTCTTTCCTTGAACATTTGAGCAGCATTTTTGCTGAAATGCTGGGTGCAATATGAGACATCAGTAAAACAACTCCGTGAAGGTAAAAACAGCATAAGAATTAGAAGGTTCTTTGGTACCTGAAGTGGAAAACAACTTTTAGACCTTTTTCTAACGTGTGTTTCCATAGAAAGACCTTAATTTTCTTCATGATGTCTTTAACACTCTTGTTATTCTCTTATCACAGTAACCCTTTTTTTCTTCCATTACTGATTTCCCACCCCTATTTTTTTCCTCTGCTGTTGCCCATTTCCTACTTTTGTTGTTATAAACTAACATTCAAGCAGCCATGGAATGAAAGACAGGTTGTTGTTTTTTTACTTTTGGGGGGATATAGTTCTTTTCCATTTTTGTTACAATTTGTTGGGACTCAATGGCAGTAGATTCCTTTGGAGCTTCATTTTCTCTGGCTAGAAAAAGAATGTCTGAGGGGTGAAACACTAGTCAAAATTCAATTGCACAATATTGTCATACAAAATAAAAAGGTGTGTTTTTTTAAATGAATGAGAAGGCTATCTCACTGTGACATTCAGTGCATCTAGTGAGAGAATGAGAGTATTCATTTTCTGTTACTGTGTTCCTGTAAGGAAACACACCTGCAAGTGACTAAGGCCAAATGGGAGTCATTTGCTGAGGTATAGAGTCATGTTATTAATGTTATGTGTGGGCCAAGAAGCTGAGGAGGAGGGTGGGCTTGCTTAGTGTTGCCTCTGGGGGGAAGGTTCTGCCTGTTCATTCACCATCACTGTGTCTGCCAGGCGAAGGAAGCGTGACGAGGACCGGCACGACATCAATAAGATGAAGGGGTACACGCTGCTCTCTGAGGGCATTGACGAGATGGTGGGCATCATCTACAAGCCCAAAACCAAAGAGACCCGGGAGACCTACGAGGTGCTGCTTAGCTTCATCCAGGCTGCCCTTGGGGACCAGGTGAGGCAGCCCAGGGGTGAAGCCATGGTTTGGGAGAGGGAGGGAGTTATACCTGGGGGTGCCAGAGAACCTCTTGTGTGGATGTTCTCTGTGGGCCGTGCCAGTTTTCAGAGGTGGCTGATATTTCCTGAGCACTTTCTTTATGTGAGACAGTGCTTCCCATGTGTGGTTAGGAACCGTTTGAGTCTGAGGCTCTGTCAGGTGGGTGCTAGAGGAGGCGAGGACAGAAGATTACCAAAAATTTGGCAGGCTAGAGGAAGACTATGGAGCGCCTGTATCACCTGGAGAAATGTTGCAAACGATACTGGAAGCCATGCCAGTCTCCTTCCTAAGAACACCTACCTAATTTTTAAAACGGGGGTCTTGGGGCCGGCTGAGTGGCACGTTGGTTAAGAGCTGGCTTGGGACGCCAGCTCTCAGCAGCAGGGCCCTGGTTCGGATCCCTCATGGGGCCAGTGACACTGCCCTCTACAGCTAAGATGGTGAACAACAGCTCAACCTGAGCTGGGCTGCTGTAAGTCACCAGCGATGGCGTAAGCTGCAGCCCCTGCTGCATTGGGCTACCATAAGCTACCGTGTGTGGCTGGCAGCCATCGTGAGCGGCTGGCAGCCGGTGTGAGCTGCTGTCCAGAGGCCAGCGACCGATCTGCCTCACCCAGGAAGAGCGCAATGATAATATACCAACATGGGCCAATGAAGCAATGTCCTCCACAACTAGACTGAAGAACAAAACGACAGCAACTTGTCTGTTCCCCTCCCCTAACTGCCCAATTAAAAAATCTTACAAAAAACAACAACAGGGGTCTTCCTTCAATTGTGTGACTCTGGTGGCATTTTTTATTAATATTAATGAATATGATCAGAATCTGGAATGCAGGTTTTAAAGAGGTATAACTCTTCACATCCTGTTGCCACATAAAGCTGGTCAGTGATGTTCTGCCTGTCATTGCTCTAAAGTTCGTTGGGTTGTTTTTGCCACCAGCCACGTGATATTCTTTGTGGGGCAGCTGATGAAGTTCTGGCTGTCCTAAAGAATGAAAAGCTTCGCGACAAGGAAAGGAGAAAGGAGATTGACCTGCTGCTGGGTCAGACAGATGATACCAGATACCATGTGCTAGTGAACTTGGGCAAAAAGATCACAGACTATGGTGGAGACAAGGAAATCCAGAACATGGGTAACTGAGCTCTTTATGTCATGATCACATTAACTGGTTGCTTGTTAACTGCTAAACATGATTCATTGGGTTGTCCGAAAAGTCATGATGCATTTTTGCAATGAAAAAAAACAAAAAATACTTCATAACTTTTCCAATAACTCAACAGTTCCAGTCGTTAAAATAGCTGAATGTGTCAGTGAGTTCCCATAATCTGTGGTGTTTCTTGCTGAGTTATGATTGCTGGACCAGAATCCCTGGATCACGGCAGCCATTTCTTACACTGGACTCTTTTGTTGTATAGAACATGGGAGAAAACCTGGGCAGAGTCTGGGGGAGCTCAAGTGGTTGAGCAAGCCGAGTAGGCCCTTAACCCGGCATTGGCAGGTGGAGAGGGCCTCGCTGGTGGCTCTCCGTGTCGTTCATTAGTCTTTGTGAGTCCTTAGACCAGCAACTTGTCCTGAGAAGGAAGTCAGGCAACTGGGGAGGAAATGAGCCCCACAGTTCCTCTTCTCACTATCCGTTCGCTGTCCCCTCTAACCCCTGGTCGTTTCAGATGACAACATCGATGAGACATACGGAGTGAATGTACAGTTTGAGTCTGACGAGGAGGTGAGTGATACAGCAAACGGACCCAGCTTATTCTTGGTTTTCAAAATGTTTAGGCGAGGGGACCACGTCTAGTGTAAGGAAGCCCCTAGCTGAAGCCAGATAAATTTTGTGGTGTCGAATGGGTGTCAGACTTGGGCATACATATTATTTTGCTAAAATCGTTACAGTCGTCTTTAGGTTTTATAAAGCAAATTAAACTTACAAATGTAAACCAGTATAATTTAAAATAAACGAAGTGCACCAGCAAAAAGAAAGACAGAAGGTAAGTACAATGTATACCTTCACCGAGGGGGGATGCCGTCACATTTCACTGCATTTTAACCTCACTGTTATAATTTCCCACTGGTCAGTACTGTGTCCTGCAGCCAGTTTCAGAAGAATGCACATTTGCCCAAGAGCACGGGCACATTTTGTACCTGGTTGTTTAAGTAATAGTTGCAGCAGCCACTGAGATTTACCATCTAATCATGATTTCTTGAATATAACTAAATGAGAAAAGTGGGGCTCTGGAAAATCTTTGCAAAGTTGCCTTAGAGCTGAGTGGTGAGTTTGGCTCCGGAAAGGTAAAATGCTGGCTTTGGAATATCATGTGCTAGGACAGGAAGAAGAGGCAGCATAGGAGGGTCAGAGGAGAGAGCACCAAGCTGGGAGCCAGGCAGCCTGAATTTTGGTCCCATGTCTTGGTCAGGTCATTTTGCCTCAGTTTCTCAATCTGTCAGATGAGTGAAATAGGTGATTGCTGTGTCCCTTCTTACAGTACAGTTAATAGGGTTTTATGACTTCGTAGCAACAAAGATTGCTTTGCTTGTAGCATTCATTTAACGAATGCTTTATTAAGTGCCTGCTTTTAACATGATCGCTGCGTCCACAGTGCGGTGTGAAGCAGTGTGTGAGTAAAGACAGTGGTGAGCAAGCTGAATGTGGTCTGCACTGCTGGACCCAAGATACTCTGCATTACTCTTCTCTCCTGCTAGCTTCCAGCTCTTTATTTTATTTATTGATCATGTGTATGAGAGACTAATCCCACGGCAGCCTCAGGTGTGGAGTGGAAAGAGTAGAAGCAGCTCATGAAGCCTTGCCACGTGGACCTGGAGTGGGAGGTCACTGCATTAAATGTACTCTGGACAAGGCTGATCCTGGTCACCCCAAATCCATTGCTGTGACCATGGAGCTAACTCGCGGCGACTTGGGAGCGCTGCTATGGTGATGGGAGTCAGCTCCATGACATGAGCTGGAGTGGGGGCTCTTCCACAGGAAGGCGATGAAGATGTGTATGGGGAGGTTCGAGAAGAGGCATCCGATGATGACATGGAAGGGGATGAGGCTGTGGTGCGCTGTACCCTCTCTGCCAACGTGAGTACAATCTGCGCCTGCTCACTGCTGCAAGGCCAGGGTCTGTCGGGGCAGCACTTCCTGCCCGTTAAGTCATTTCCTGAGC